TGGCCAGAATTAATTTTTCCTTATATTATTATTCAGTATAAATTATTACAAATGTATCAAAATCCAGGTTTTGAATTTAGTCTTCGGTATTAAACAAATCGATCAAATTTTGATAAATATTTTTGTGATATTTATGATAACAATATTTGAAAACCTTTGAAGATGAAAAAAAAAATTCAAAATTATTTTTTAATAAAGAAAAGGCAAATTTATACTTAGGATTGATATTAAATATTGACTGGTTTCAACTATATAATAATAAAATATATAGTACTGATATTATATATACTGTATATATGGCAATCACTAATCTACTACATGAAATATAGTTTAAGTATAAAAATATACTGATTTTTGATATATTACCAGGCTCTAGTAAATCAAGTTTATATCAAATAAATCATTATCTTTTATCAATTGTAAATGAATTGTTGCAACTATAATAAGGAGTAATATTAGATTCTACTATCAAAAATAAGAATAGAAAAATAATTCAGGCTGCTTTGATTTTAATTTCATGCAATATTCCTGCAGCACAAAAAGTATGTGGATATATTTTGGTACTAATATCATGCCATCACTGTAAGAAAAAAGCAAATTATGTCAACAATCAATATAATTATGGTGATATAAATGATATAATGAATGGTTTATATTGTTATTGCCTTGAGTGAGCAAAATGAGAAATGTGTCAATTTAAACTTGCAGTGAACAGTATGTTTCTATAAAATATAAGAAAATAGAAACAGAATAAAGAAAAAGAAAAGAAAAGATTCAGAAAAATACCAATAGAAATCAAAAAAAAATGAAAATTCATAATTTAGTATATTGAAACTTTCAGTTTCTTGCCTAATAGACTTTAAAACCACTGATAAAAATAATATTTAGCTTTTAATGATTTAATTTATTTAACATATGTTATGTTTCAAACATTATCATATAAATTAACATGAACAATTGAATATTATTGTTTCAGTCAGATTTTTAACTCTGCCCTGATATTGGAATCAAAAGATAATAATATACAAAATAATATAAGAATTCAATGTTTCTATACTATGGTCCAAGTTGTTTTTTCTTCAAGGCTGAGGGAAAATGCAGTCTTTTTATAATGTTTTGATCAATTGTTGATCACTCTACTGTAAATATTTATATGTGGTTCATCTATTTTATACAAAGAATAGTTAAAGAATTATTTTTGTTACACTTGGATGATCTGCAAAGAAAATTCTTATCTGTAAGACAAGAATCGAAATTATTCAAAATTCTATTATATTAATCATTTTTGAGCTCTTAATAAAAATGTTCTTCTAGTCTTTCTGCAAATAGTTATTTAGAATCACAAAGAAGCTTTACAAATTGAGTTTTGAGCTATAACACTCCGAATTAGCTGTACTGTTTGAAATACCATAGGTGTTTTAAGAATTCTTGAGAGAAATATTACTTTGCTAATATAAAAATATACTGTATATAAAAAATAATAAATGATAATAAATTATGATAATATATAATAGAATATAACTAAAGTTAATAAAAATTCAAAAAATTTTTAGTAACAATACCAAGGAATTTGACAACTTATAGATGAAATTCTATTAAATGGAGAAATTGTAGCTCTAATTATATATGTGGTGGAATTAAATTCAACCATTTTTCAAAAATCATATTATAGTAGAATTACTAAGTAATATATAGTAATTAATTGGAATTTATATTTAATTTAGAATCGTATTATCAATCAAATTTCTTTTATAGTAATATGATCACATATATGGTTTTAATGCCATACAAAAATGATTTGTTAGTAAAAATCATATCAGGTGATTAGAACTTCTCTGTTTATTATACTTTAATCCTATTCAATATTTAGTTATCAATTCTATGCACTGTCTTTTTTTGGGTATCAGCAAATGACTTGTTAAATAAATATGGATTAAAGAGAGTATATTAACAAACAATATATTGAATAAAATACAGTCAATGATGGAAAAGTTTCAAATACTATTAGATGTTGAACGAATCCCAAGAAAAGTAAATATTGGTGAAGATTTCTTGAATTTTATTGTCAATTAGTAGCAAAATTCTTTACAATATATGTAACTATTGTTCTATGGAATTAACCTTTCAGATACAGATCGTCAAATTTTAATAAATTTTGTTAAAATATGTTAAATTTTAGTATGCTAAATTATAAGATGAGACTTATTAAATAAAGCATATGAAAGGTTAATTAAAATTATTAAATTAATCAAACAAAAATATGAAGTGAAAAAATCATATTAAATTTTCATCTTTTTTTACATTTGCATGAATATATATATAATTATGGATCATTATATGTTTTTTGATGTTTTTTATTTGAAAGAATGAATGGTATACTCGATAAGTTTTTAATATATATTAGTTTTACTACTTATAGTATTCATTAATAAACTTTAATATAGGTTTTTTGCTGATTAGTCATTGAAAAATTGAATTGGAATTAATACAAAAACTAATAAATAACTGCCAAATTTTATATTTGACATCAATATATTTGAATAAAATAGGATTTGAATTTCTGAATAATAAATTAATTATTGGCTCAATTTTTGAACTGGATCAATTTTTGACTAACGAATTATATTGATTTTTAAACAACATATATAATATTTATAAGATAATTACCAATGAATTAGAAAAATTTTTGAATAAATTATTGTATCCAAAAAATTTAAATTTAATATTATCTGCTAAAATATTGGATTTATTAGTCAAATATTATAAGGCTTCATATTGTTAGCATAGAAATTATAGTAGGGGCATGACGTGACATGTGGAACCCGGTGTAGTGCCATATGAGGCATCGATCATCCATCAATCATGTATAACCAATGGGTGCAAAGCTTGTAAAAGTTTAATAATTCTACATAACGCGACAATAGATTTAGAGACGTATCGCAGACATGTATAAATAGCAATGATATTCAATGTAAAAGGAAAGACATGCAAGAGAATAATGAATTAATAAAATACCATCTGCTATAAATCTAATTGTATGCTAGTGCAACGATAATTAAGAAACTTACCTTATTTGTCTCTAGTCATCCTAGAAAGAATTCACAAGCCCTGCAGTTTGGTAGCGAAGAATTGGAAGAGGAACCAACCTAAAGAAGAGGAAGATAAGAATAATTATCACAATATGTACCTTTGGTATCACCAGCGACATAGATTCACTTACCCAACATTGTACGAGTCTTGGTCCGGATTAGCGACTGACTCGCCATTGAGATCAACAATATGAAACAATAAACTTTTAAAAACCATTTATAAATAATATTAATAATTCAATAGTTATTCAGAATAAAGCAAATCAATATGGAAGATGTTAAATAGGAAGCAAAATTTTTAATTCTTTTATATCTTCACGAAATATAAAGGATTCATTTGTGTTAGCACAATTTGTGAATTATAAGGAAATATTGATTTATATCTGGAACAAGTTCTTTTTTTTCACACATTTGATTAATTTTCTGAATAAAATTGTATACCATAAATTGGCTTTTATTTGATGGTTTAAACCAATTAATTCAGCAAATGTAAGATTTTATTTTGACTTAGAAAATAAAATGAATATTGAATTATGGAATACTGATTTTTATCTAATTAAACACGAATATATAATTTCTATTTATAATATTTTTGACTGATTTATTTCATTTATTTATAAAATATCAAATTGATATAATTCTTATAAATAATTAGCTGTAATTTCACTAAACCACAAGTATAATATTTAAAATCATTAAAATTCAGCTATAATTAAGTATAAAACAATTTGTATCTAAATTTAATTTTTTAAAAAATAATTTAAATTTTTTTTTTTTTTTTTTTACAATTATTATAATTAATTTAATTTATAAAAAATAAAATATTATTTTATAATTCAGTATACTGAATTGTTGCCAAGTGATATTATGCTAAATGATTATATATCCAAATATTTAACAAGTGGCAATATGCCAAATGGTACTATTTTGATTAGTATAAATAATTAAATTTTGATTAGTAAATTTATTAATTAGTTTAAATCTTAATTCTTTTTTTTGATAAGCAAATTTTTTTTTTTATTATTTCTAAAAATTGTATTTATGTTATAAATAGAAATATTAGACTTAGTAATTTTATATAAATAACTTCAATATCTTTTTTATTTATATTTGTTTAATATTTAACAAATATGTAATGCCAGAATAGTTAAATAAAATTTTTTAAAATAAACAATATTGTATTTTAAGTAGAATTGTTTTATGCTTAACAAATTTTTCAATACAAATAAAATTAAATAAACATTGATTTTTTAACAAATTAAAATATTATTAATTATAATTATAATATAAAAACCTATGGGTTTATAGTATAGTAATCAAGTGTTTCTAGATTTGTATCATAAAATATTAAATTCAATTTCAGATAAAAGCAATTGAACTGACTTAATATGATATCTAGTACTATTAATTAAATAGTTTTATAATTGCTTTTTCTATGATATCTAGATATCTCTTTTTACAAGTTATTAAAAAAATCCTATTTCATTTCAGTAATAAATCACTGACAATTATTTATTCCAGAAAAATAGTCAAAACAATAGTAAGTACTGATGACCTTGACCATGGACATGATCCAATACCTCTATGGTTGGATCAATAGCAACAATCCAATATGAAAGTAATTCAATATAGTCTAGTATGCATCTAGAATAGCTAATAGATAGTAATTCCTGTAATACAAGAAATACATGTGAACTAAATAAAAGCACGCTAGGCAAGACCCAGCTAGTTGACAGAAAAAAAATAATTATGGTATAGAATTATTTTTAAAAATTTTTAATATTCATTTTGTATTTACAAAGATATACTGTACACTGTATACAGTATATTTTCTAATGTTTAAATCCGTAAAATAAGTATACCATACATGTTTTTTTTTGAAAGCAGTTGAAAGAACGTTTATGGCAGTCGTTAAACTGGATCCTCTATCACGCATGCCATAAGAAATAAATAATTTTTATCGTGAAACGAATACCGGTATACGTTTTTTATTACAAGATGAAATTTTTGTGCCGTGTTTGCAATTTTCCAGAAATACAGCAAATCGGCAGCTCCGATTAATCCCATTCTGATGTCCTAAATTAACAATTCAACATTCCTTCGCCATCAAACATAATTACAGTCATCACCTTCCACGTTAAAGTCATTGCCGCCGTCCCGCAAATTAGGGTAACAAGCCCATATACATAGGATTTGCGCGATACACGTAATTCGTAAATGATTGCTGAGCCGGTAGTTAAACAACCTGAAATTGAGCGAAAGATAGGGCGGTAAAAAAAATACATCTCGAGTGAGGAGAAAATTGAGAAGGCTTACCGCAAAACCCATTTACAACTCCATCAATCACCTGACACCAGGTTTCGACGTTTCCTGCTTCGGGAACGTTCCAAACTTCCGTTATACCGCTACCAAACCCTATCTCATGTATCTTCATATTTAACCTGCTCACTATGCTCGTTCTGATATTATTATTGGTCAAGCTAACTTTGTTTCCTACGCGCAATATGCTCTTACGAATTATTTCACTTCCACTTCTTACGGCCTCATCATCACTCCCTGTAGTCCCACTCAAAAATATCATTATACCTACTACAATGCATCCTAACATGTTTGCCGCAAATGTTCCCATCGGAAAACTTTTTTTTTGTGAATTCAACATCGATGATATTGCTAATCTCAAGAATGTTCCTAGTGGTGCGAGGGCCAGTGTTATGGAAAGTTCTCGAGTGCTTACAAATATCTGAGAGAAGTAAGAATAGATTACAAAAAAGAGGACGAAAACATATAGCGACAGACCGAAGATGAAGAATGTGTAATCGATTAGCGTGAGGTTGTGAAACGACCACGAATTTGAAGTGATCGCATAACGTCTGTTGGGTGGGTCAAATTGAACGATGTTGGTGTCAACGCGAAAGGGTTTGAAGGAATCAGAATGAAAGCGAGAGATAGAGTTGAGAGTAAATCTTCTGGAGGAGTGCGCTGGGCATGACGGTGAGACAAGTGAAGCGGTTGAGTTTGTCGATAAAAGGGATGGTAAGGGCCAAAGAATGTTCGCAAGATGTTCACCGAATTCGAAGGCAATCAATGACATGCCGGTCGTCAATACGATGTGTGACAGCGTGGTCAGAACCTTGGACCTTATAGAATCTGCATTTGAATATCCAATGATGATCTCAAATATGACTAGCGTAAAGTCGCTGAATGATGTTATGGAACCGCAGAGACCCGTGCCTAAGACGAACGTCATTGGGAAATATCTTTTTTTATTTAATAGAATCAATTAGGCAAGGTAATTATAGTAACGATTATAGAAATCCGTAATGATTTTAAACGAGTGGCACTCACGTTTCAACCAGTTGAACCTGGCGAGCATTTATAAATCCCATGATACAACATCCAACGATCTGTGGGTAAATCTCGGCGAATACCTGTTGTCCATCGTATGTTTCCAATGAAACCAGCGCTAATCTGATGAGGACTCCCATCATCGAGAAGATTATTAATAGGCCAATCACGGGGGCTTTCTTCGTATTAATGATGACGTTGACTTTTGATGATTTATTAGTTAACACATTGCTCTCTAGGGAATTTTTGGAGGGTGTTTCATTTGAAATAATGTAATTATCACCATTATAGAAATTAGTGGGCGAATATTTCCGGGAAGTTGGAAATGAAATTCTCACATTGGATTCGTGAATCTCATCTTCGCTGCTATTATCGTTGATGTTGATATTGGGATTGTCATTATTAATATTATTATTGCTTTTAGTATTGTTATGGCTAATTACGCTTGACGAATCACTAGTCATGCTATTCAGACTACCACCGAAATCAAATTTATTTTTCATCGAGTTCACGAACAGGGGTGGAATCAAATTGGGCGCAGGTAAAGTCAGAGAATCGGCCCTGGTCAAATTTCTAGACCCGCTGCTCGACAATTCAGGAGAATCGTGATAGAGATTATCAGAGGTGTAAGAATTGGAGTAGGAATGTTGGGAGGTTCTGTTTCTTTTTTCTGCATCAACGTAAAATTCTTGCGCGGGATCCAAGTGCGAGTAAATTATGATTTCACTATTTCCGAAGTCATTCACAATGTGATGGCCGTTGGAATCATGCCTTTGTGAGATGACATGCGAATACCAATCTTTCACTTGAATCTTTGGAGGAGTAGGCCTTTCATAATTTCCGCCAACAAAATTGATAAATTCTCTTTCGTATCGTTCTTCCCGTTGTTTTTGTTGTCCAATGTCTTGTTCCGGTAATGGGAGTATGGAGTTATTCGATGATTGATCCATCGTCAACGATGAGATTGAAGAGGTCGTCAGGGAATGAGTACGACTTTCGAGAAAGACAGTTTCACCGAAAGTATCTGAGGGTCGCGGGCGGCGTAAGTTTGTCATGAGAATTTGGTTGTTGTTGTTCGAATGAGATGAACGAGCTCCGAGTTTAATTGAACTTTTCAGAAGCGACAACGAAGGAGAGGAAGGTAAGGGCAAATTGTAAAGATCAGGTGAATTAGCTGAGGTGCTACCTGCAGCAAGGATCTCGCCTCGGCCCATGGTCAATTCAGAACCACGTAGACAACGAGATAACATGCAAGGAGCTTGGTGAATGGGAAGCGTTCACCTCTCTTACATAATTTAGCAAAGAATATAAATAACGATCCGCGCGATTCACACGTTTTAAACAAATAAATTGAAAAAATGTAATGCAAAATCACCGAACGCATTTCATCTAAAACCTGGAAATTATATTTTTTATTAAAGTGCGACATATGTATTTCCCTCTCACATGAGAGATGTATTTCGGTCATTAAGGTACGTAATAACGGGTCAAACAAAGATCAGTGTAATTATTGGTGATTTTAGAAGCTCAATCAGTAGTTATTCTCGGAGAAAGAACCTTTCTCCCCTGCGAGAAATAACCAACAATACTGACAAGAAGTATCAGGTGCAGTTTAAACATCTTCCGCGGATAATGACAACACACTTTTAATTAAGAAAAAATTTTTTATTTATAAAAATGCCGGCAAAATGATCAATCGGCTTCGTTACAGTAACCAAACAAAAACTTGACATCGAAAGATCACATCACCTATAATATAAGCAAGCTTGGAGAGGTAGAATCCGCCTTTATCCTACTTACAGTACAACCCACAAGAATCATATGCAGGAAAAACTGTGCTCTCATAAATAACACATGTGTTGGGGAAATGATCTCTAGATCAGCTTCTTTTTGTATTTAAGTTTTTTTTTTCTACATATTAGAAACCTCGTTGCAAGACATGCAGCCTAAAACCGGGAATCGGAAGTTAATCCACTTGCCTATCTACAGGCTGACGATGATAATCTTTTAATATCTGTTTACTCTAGACTTTGGGGCAGGAAAAAAAAAAAACAATGTACCGGGTATTGTGCATTGTTCAGTGTTGATGAGAACAATTGTTTACAAAAAATTTTTTTTTGTTTATGAATCCTCTTGGAATTTGCGGTCATTGTTGATCGTTTAGGTGTTCGATTCTGATTGGATCAAATTAAATGCCGAGCGGTGACTTTATTCTTTTTTTGATTTTCAATCGACCGAGATTTCCTTTTGAGCATTCTGAATTGAACAATGGTCGGATAGATGGTTTTGTCACTTTGTGAGTTGGGGAAATCTATGCGGGCAATTCAAAAATAAACAAAACTGTACATCGTAGGAACATATTTGGCCTCTTAATTATGCCAAATTTCGAAGAACCATTATAAGATCAGGTCCGAACTAGTGATGCGTTATCACGCTGGTATTACTTCGTCATCAATTCGGGGAGCAGAAATGCAGGAACATGCGCGCTTACATACCGATATGACGCAATTGCCATTACGAGTCGCTCACCTTTTTGACCCGAGCAAAGAATTTTCCGTTGGATCATGTGAATTTGCTCCAAGGGCTATGCCAGTGTATAAACCATTTATGCACTGAGGATAAACGCATACGTAATGATATACATATTAATCGCTAAAGCACGGATGTAAATGTAGACCCAACCTGTACATGAAATCGACAGACATTGCATTAATTCACTTTTTCGTTAGAATAGGTGAACGATGATACCTACAGTACGTCCATTGCATATTTTCCCAAATGGGATATAATAAAATATTTTCGGGAAATGCAGTTTATATGATAATGGCTAAGGAATTCATTGCTGCAGACGTGATGACTACTTCCTGCCACGGAATTCGTGTGACCAACAAAAACGAGCGGTACGTCATGGCAAAGGGCTATTCCACAGGTTTCACCGTTTCACATCAAAGGAGTGTGTCAATAGTGTCATACCTTGGCACATCGATAAATAAATAAATAAACTGTTGCACCACAAATATGCAAATTAAAAAATCAAGAGGCGTTCTCATCGAAGATCACATAATCCCAAAAAGCGGAAATGAAAGAGTGATCATTTAAAGAGAACAGAGAATATGCTTGAAATGTTAAGGTTCTGGAAATTGTTTTTTTTTAAAAATAAATCGATTGACAAAATGTTCTCAAATCATTCGAGCGCATGAAAGTTTATAGGATTGACAAAACAAAACGACCATTCTTCTTTCTTTGCTCTTGTTATGCATGTAAATATTCCTCACCTCATCCACACAGTACATAATAAAAAAAATAAAATGAAAAAAAAAAAATTTTTTTTTTTCTTCTTTACTTGCATCCGATAATTGTTAAATGCTGTTTTTCATAATGGTAATAATAACCGATTTTGAAACCTTTTGAGAGAAATAATGAATCCTGCAAAGTTTGCATGGAAATCACAAGTAATTTCAGAGAAAACAATTATTATCCAGCAAAGGTCAAAAAGGTCCCAGACACAAGTCGAAAATCTCTGAACAAATAAAGTACGTACGACATTACTAAAGGAAAAGAGGAAAAGCAGGTGGCTAAACCTGTTGGGGACCAGAAGCAATCCGCGCCAATTATATTCTGACACTTTTCTAGGCGAAAGATTTTCACGTGTTAGACTACTTTTTTTTTATTAGGAAGGCGGAAAAATAGAAAAGAGAAAAAGGCCAATATTTAGGTACACAGTGACACTTACTTTATTCTCACAAAAACGGGCGCGTCCAGTGATCTTCCTGTCAATCCAAGAGATAAAAGGGCATTCGACTTTCATTGACCCAATTTTTTTTTTTTTTTTTTTCATAAACATTCACCAAAATAATAATAATAATAAAAAAAACAAGCTTTTTCATGTCTATATAAATAAACATATATATTGTATATATAAATCCATTTTTCACATTCAATACTCTTGTATATTGAATTCTTGTTAGCAAAATCCCCCCTTTTTTTAGGAAACAGGAAAAAAAATTTTTTTTATGTAAAAATGTGTAGCAGTATTTCTTTCGCAACAGCTAACGAGTCCCTAATGCATGAGGAAGAGACGGAACTATTGCAACCATCTGGCGAGTCGACAACTCACATAACAAATTTCAACAAATTTAAGAAAAATATACCTTTGACGGAACCGTCCACCCCCGCCGCCAAGTGTGACATCTCACCGATACCAAGCAGGCATGCAACGCCAGAAATATGTAAAGAAAATAATTGCGAAGAAAGCAATGCAAACACTTGTTCCATATGCACTGAATCAATTAGTGTATACGCTGTCGCACAATGTAATCATCGAATATGTTACGTCTGCGCTCTTAGATCAAGAATTTTGTTAGGGACCAACTCTTGTCCTTTTTGCCGAGTGAGTAAATGTTCATTGTGCTCGTTGAGGCGGATATGATTGCCAATCATTTTTTTTTTTAAATGCTAATAACAGTGGACAATTTATTATAGGCCAAGCAACACAAAGTGATCTTTACTCACGATTCTACGGCACCTTTCTCGGTGTTAATGTCGTCGGTATCGGTGTGGTATCTCGTACCAGATTATCAAATACTGTGCGAGGATCAACAGATACATCACATGACAACAGAGATGATAAAATTTAGGTGTCCGATGAAATCCTGTCGGGCAGCATATAGTGGGTGGCCGGAACTTATTCAACATGTACGAAACGATCATAAACTAATGTTCTGGTGAGTTACCTTCCGGTCTTCTTGTCGTTTCTTCCATGTTCTGACGCTTACCATTCGCTTTGTGCACTTTCTGCAGCGGACGATGCATAGCACATCGTAAGATATTTACCTGGGAGCATATATTGTATACCAAGGAGGAATTGAAGAGACATTATCGTAGCGGGGATGCCAAAGATTTTAACTTTCGAGGTCATCCTTCGTGCATAGAATGCAATGTGACATTCTACGACCTAATCGAATTTCGTGAACATTATCTAATGCATCATTCTCTGATTCCGATGGTCGAATCACCATCGCGTGCCACAAGAATCACGACGAGTTCGCAATCCACCGAACAAACCACACTCAACACTGCATCATCATCATCATCATCATCACCACCGCCATCATCATCATTATCATCATCATCATTATTATTATCATCATCATCATCAACATCATCAACATCATCAAGAGTTTTGACAACCATCAACAATGTCACCGTCAACAATGTATTAGACAGCAATGAAAGCAACGGGTTTGACATTTCAGCTTTATTCTTTTTCATACTCTCGGTTTTCACCACACTCCTAGGAACACTCTCAATACCGGACGACAATAAATATTTTGCATCCATCATACAAACATTAGACGGGCTCACATCATCTGTATTTAATATTAATGTTGATGACACGAATTTCACTGCATTACACACCATTTTCACATCCATCTACTCATTTGGGCTGAGATTAATTTTCGCGATTTTTTACTTGACCATGATATTTTGGGTACTGAAAAGTTGGTTCATAATGATGAGTTGGATTCTGTACTTTATTTGTGGGGCTGTGATACTTAGATTGTGTTGGGAACATTGGATAAACTGTTAGTCCTGGCGGGTTTCACGTGGTCATAAACCATTGAAACAAAAATAATTCATACAAGCGAAATGCTCGTGTGCATCACATACATTTGTATAATTTGTGAAATAAAAGATTTCGTGCGAGGGAATTTGTGGGAGACACGTGAAAAAAAAAAACGATTTATTCCAAAAAGGAAAATAGTTGGTTTTTCTTGTTCTTGCGCACATGCTTTTTGATAACAATGAAATAGTAAAAATTCGGTTTACCTACATTTAGCATTTAAGTCGAAATTTTGCATCAAACATCGTATAAATACACTCGTTACTTTTGTACATGCATACATTAAAACCGTTGTGCCAAAAAAATGTTTGTCATTCGATACAGTTCTCCAAAAATAAGTATATACTGGTTTGTTTTTTTGCTTTTTAAAAAAAAAAAAATAGAATAAAATACATAAACTATAATTGTACATTTGTACATTCAAAAATACATAACCATACTTGTACATTTAAAAATAACTGGTTTGATTGGTAGTAGAATGGTGATTTTTTCCAACGATGACCCTTTGGTTTGGACCAGATTCGAGACTGCTAGGCATTCGATTGATAGCCATTATGGAAGCCAACTCGATTGATCTTTTCCATGCCATCAATAACGACACCAAGCTCAAAAGCACATTAAACCAACTGATCGCTATGCTCGATACTGCCATTCGGCATAATAGCAATGCTTCATCTGGAAATCTACCACATTGATACCCTGGGCCTGAATACCATGGGTCTAGGTTGGTGACACCTTGTTGCGAAATTTATGAGGGATCAGAGGTGGTTCGTCAAGATTGGATCCAATCATTATTTATTTATTGATTCATTCACTTACTTGCTGATACCCAGAGAGTGAAGGAAAATCTATTTGTCAGACGGCACGACGGATCGAGAAAGTGTTGGCGTGACCACCATTTCAGCGAAAGGTTAATTCAATTTCGTTAAAAAAGGAAAAAAAAAAAAAAACAACAATACATACATCTCGATGAGCAAGAGCCTTATTCCGTAATCCCACACTCGTTGAAAACTACTCAAATAAAAAGCTGAGGAGGAGGATTCAAATTTACAGGTTAGCGCACTTTCACACTATCTAACTGATGACATACGAATCCCTTTGATACTTAACTGGTCCCCACGACTGTTATTATTATTACGACATAGTACCATATTTTTATCTGTCCGTGAACTTGTCCACCATAAGAACTAACGTTCGGGAAAAAGATTTTTTTTTTAAAAAAAAAAAAAAACATGAAAATCACTCAAAATTTAAAGCAAAATCGGCAAACTCACAGATTCAAGGTTTGAAAGTATTTGGATTTGTCAAGTTTAAAATTTGAATACGATCCCGAGCCATTTACACTATCAACATAATTCGTCCACGCATAGTATTCCACCGCCTCTGCAGATGATTCGAAATTAAGAATTAAGAGTTCAAATAACCACCAACGATGCAAAGGTGTAAATGATGAGGAAGACAAGGAATTGCTTACCTAAAATGCCGCAGACAATGGCAACCAAGACTATGCAAATCTTTAAGACCCGAAAAAAGACCGGATGTTCACTAGCCCCCATCCTTCTCAATATTTAATTATACGATTAGCTTGAAAATAAGATGTGCCTTTCTTTATTTTCAACCTTTTTTTCACATTTGTCACAGGAATGACGATGAATCGATTCTTCGGTCAAATTTTAATAACAAATGTTTCGCTTAACTTGCATTTCCTTCCGGTCACTTGACTTGCGTTGGAAATTTTAAATATAATAGGTCTGGTACCAATAATAATAGATAATTTACAATTATTTTCTCGTCAAGACACTTGTTTTACATAAATTCATTATCCAGACTAGGTTGTGTTCTTGTTTTACGCTTTCGTCTTTGTCAACAAGAAACAAAAAAATATTTATTTATTTTTTAATTTTTTCCCTACGCCCAAACAATGAAAGGAAACAAGGAAAGAATAAAGAAAGGTGAGGTTGTGTCAAAAAAAAAAAGGTACCGTACTTTAAACGCCCGGTATAATTTAATGTGACACGGGAGTAAAATATTTGACCGATTGCTTTGCTAAATTTAGTCGGGGTTCTTTGATATTATACTTTGCATCCCTATTTTTGGTTAGCATCCTCATAATACCATAATACGTAGTAGTACGTGGTGTCCACATTTACACATTTACACTCATTTGTAAAATCGGTATATCATACCCTGATGACGTTGTACGCACGAATCACCTTTCAAAACAATTCATCGATTCCCCTCGCTAAACACCTCGATGCAACTCGTACTTCATTTTTATTTCAATGATGAGATAGACACTGATAATGATTTTCGATATGTATTGATTATGCATAAATGGTTAATTGTACTTTCTATGGAGACAGAATGGATACATAAAGAATTGACTAGTATCCGCCTAACAATCGCGATCAATCGCGTGTTAAGAAGTCCGTCACATGTGTGTGTACGTCAAAAAAGAACAGACTCCCATCGGACGGGAGTCGTTTTCTTCACAGTCGATATGAGGAAAACGAAGAGCCTTCAAAAAAAAAAAAAAAAAAAAATACTACAAACTTATGTTATCAAAAGAGAGAAGAAGAGCGGGAGAAGAGTACGTTTTTTTTACGAGCAATTTGATGCACAGATGTACAGATAATTCAGAAGAAGGGAAGAAATAAACATATTAAGGGAAATTATAGTATAAATACAAATTATGGGAGTGAATAGATGAAACGTGTATATTCGTTTTTTTTATGGTCGTGATTTGTTTTACATACATATAAGTACACTTGTCCCTTTTTAAATACGGAATCTGAAGATCGCATCGGGAAAATTAGATTAAATATCCTTAATAAAAAGCTTTGCTGTACTGTACAAATGAAAAGAGGACAATCGCGGAAAAACCACGTTTAATCGGAGAACGAGCTCCTTGGTGAGGTGACCAATTGTAAGGTGGGTAAACTTTGACCTTTCTTCAACTCGGATTTTGAGTACGTCTTGAAGGTCATTATCTGCTCGGGTTCATCCAATTGAACCATCAAGTTGGGCTTGGGCACATATTTATAGTTCACCTCGTCCAACTTTTCAACTCTTCTTTCACCTTCGTACATCTCCTTCCTCTCGATCCAAAGTTTGTAGGCAATAAAGGTGGTTAAGAAGAAGAGGCAGGAAACTATCCAACCAAATGAGATGCTTATCACCTTGGTGTTGCACTCGCGGGTAATGGCTTCGGCGTAGGATGTGTTTTGAATGAGTAAGTTGTTGTCGCACGTGTAGGTGTGACCTTCGAAAGTTGGGTATAGGTTTGCAATGCTGGATGATAGCCAGAGTCCTGCAAAGAAACTTTTGGGGACAAGAGTTGGACTAAGTATTTGATAACATAACATAAAATAAAATAAAATATTGGCATTTGATGCTTACGCGTTGATGGAAATATCACGCTTGAATGGCCCATTTCGGAATCGAAAGTGACGAATGACATAAATGCCAGCGTCAACAAGAGTGAGTAATATGGGAATGTAATAAAAGATCTTTACACCGTTATAATAAGTCAGGTCAGTGTTTCTTTGAAATGGAGCCCTACGTAACCAGAAAAAACGTCAGTCAACAAGGATTACAACAATTCATTTCGCAGAAAGCAAAAGGCTCACTCACATCTTAGATGAGAAATAGGTCGACGCTGGAATGCCTTGTTCATCGTTGAACTGAGAAAATGCAGAATATTCCAAAATTTCTAAATAATTTTGAACGTATATGATTAGAATTCACGATTTCTCTCCACCAAAAGATCAATCTCTTGAATATGACATGGAAATATGTGAAATACCTAGAATGATGATGACAACCGCAAACAAGAATTGAAAAATTCTCAAAGACTTGAAAAAGGTTGTTGCAGAATGCGAATTCATGATTGAGATTCTAACAATAAAAAATTGACGTGAAATGTAGCCCTGATTCCTGAGTGTAGAAGTGTAAGTGTGTATATGCTTCTTCTATAAAGTGTCTAGGAGGGTGAAGGTGGAATGTATAAGGTTTTATGAGAGTATATGTATGAAGGAACCAGGCCTTGGGTTTACTTTACTGTTTTTTCGAACACCGAAAGTGATAAGCGATGAAAGAGGTTAAAGACGGAAATTGGTTATCCAATGGATAATGAATGGGGAGGGGAGATGGGAGGAAAAGGGAAAGGCTAGAACGTTCACGCCTAAAGCCCGCAAGGATCTGGAGAAATAACAACTAGAATCATGATTTAGTATACCAACACTTTTATACATATCGTGCCTAACATATGAACACACTCGTGCATTCTCGTACTAAAAAAATTACTGATTACATACACAAATCTTTCTAGCCGGAAATGTACATTTGTAATAAATTTTCTTGTAACCATATGTTGGTTGATTGTTACTTATATGGCACAAAGATTAATTAATTACATTAATATTTGGTGTTTTTGTCGACACACATAATGTTGCATGGTTTTTTTAAGGAACTGTAGACACCACCTCAGCTATCCTCCGGAAAATGTCACATCTCCTTTGAAAATAGAATTATGAAGACACTGCATAAGATATCTTCATACTGTAAGTACTGTACCAGCAAATCCTAAAGAATGAAATGAAAATCCGAGTCTTTGGAATTAGGTTCACACGCGCGTTCTTCATTCAGCTTTAAGCATACATGGTATGGTTGATTATTGTTGACCCTCATAGAACTTTATTTACAATTCATTAATTTAAATGCTATATAAGGTGCCCTGATAAGAAATGTGTTACGGTCGAGACAAGTTTATTCTGATACAAGTTTCATATTATCGCCAACTCTTGGTTATTGTGTACTAAAAAGTGTCATAATCGGAATGAATTCCTTCCTTCCTTCGCCTAGCACCAAAGAGGGAACGGTTAACGTTTTTCCATTCTGGTTAGTTAGACCATGTCCAAATGCAAATCATGCATGATGCTTAACAATGATCAATCTGTCAATTTAAACGAACTTGAGGATATTGACAAGAAACTTTGGTAGATACAGTATGTGTACGAACACATTACACTTTAAAAAATTAAGCTTAAAGCTCCTTGCGACTTTCGGATTTAAAAAAAAAATTTGTTTATTTTTAAAAAAATAATAATAATAAAATAATTACTTTCAAAAATTTTTTTACGCATAAAGATTATGCATTTCACATCTCTTCAAGTATAAAATCAGTTCAGACGAAATCGATCCCTTGTATTTATTCCAATTAAATACATTATCTTGCATATACTGTATATGATTACGGGCGATTACAAGTAAAAAAAAATTCACTAAAACAAAAATATCAAAAATATGCTATTCTAATCGCTTCGCATTATTTGACTTTTTGCATGATATTTTTGCAAATATACTGTAAAGTGCATTCGTCATATAATTCCGTTTCCGTCTGATCTTTCTTTAAAAATTTCTTTGGAATATGCCGTATAATTGAATACAATTTTTAAATTTTGTATATATAATATAATTCTAAAATAATGATTTCAAAATATAATTTATACAGTATGGTGCAAAAAAAAAAATTTTTATTATATTTCTATTTATACTTTAATTTTAAAACAAAATACAGTATATCAAAAAATTATTATTATTACAGAGGATGGACAAAAGTTTATGGACAACTTTTTTTTTTTTTTTAAATAAAATTTAATTTAAAAACTAATTTA